AAAGGAGCATCCGGACTTGTCAAAGCCTCTCGAATGGTTCTCGGTTCATTTTCTAACACATAAGTTAAAAATTCAGGACCAAAAGACTTAGGTACTTTTGTTCTTTTACTACGCCTTGGCTCATCCTCAATTTCTTGAGGTAGTTTGGCCTCTTCAAATGTCCTTTTTATCGGAATTATTTCTTCCTTGTCTTTACGAGGAAAAATATTCTCAAAGAACACCGCATTTTGAGACTCAATAATTGTTCCATTATGAATCTCCGAAATTTCTGATTTGTGCACCAAAAATCGATAAGCACTACTATTGTTTGCATAACCAATAAATATACAATCAATAGTCTTTGGTCCAATTTTCACTTGTTTCGGTTTAGGTATTTCAACCTTTGCCAAACACCCCCACACTTTTAAGTATTTGTAGGTAGGTCTATGACCTTTTCATAACTCATATGGCGTTTTGTCGTTACCTTTGTGGGGTAATTTGTTCAAAATATAATTTGCCGAAAGAACCGCTTCCCCCCACAAGTTTTGGGGTAAGCCCGAACATATCAAAAGCGCATTCATCATCTCTTTTAGTGTCCGATTCTTTCTCTCGGCCACTCCATTAGATTTCGGTGAATACGGAGCCGTCGTTTGATGAACAATACCGGACTCTTTGCAGAGATGTTCAAACGGGGCTACATACTCGCCTCCTCTATCACTTCGAATCGCTTTGATCTTTCGACTAAGTTGATTCTCAACTTCATTTTTATACGTCTTAAAGGCCTCTAATGCCTCTTCTCTACTCTTTAGTAGATAAACGTAACAATACCTTGTACAATCATCTATGAATGTAATGAAATACTTCATCCCCGCTCGAGTTTGCAAAAATTTTAAATCACATATGTCAGTGTGAATTAACTCGAGTGGACTAGTGCTTCTCTTCACCGGTTTAAATGGTGTTTTAGCCACTTTTGCTTCAACACATATTTCGCACTTGTTGTGTGAATCAATTTTAACTTTTGGTATCAGTTCTAAATTCACCAACCTTTTAATTGTGTTAAAGTTCACATGTCCTAATCTATCATGCCATAAATTAGAACACTCCAGCAAATAAGAAATACTTTCTTTATTCTTCGCCTCTTGGCGGATAACATTCATTACATTCATCTTAAAAAGACCCTCATCTAGGTACCCTTTCGCTAAGAAGACACCATTCTTAGTCATTACAAATTTATCGGCCTCAAAGACTAATTTAAAACCGGCTTTGCTCAAAACAGCACCGGATACAAGGTTCTTACGGATGTCCGGGACATGCAGCACTTCCGTTAGCGTCAAGTTTTTGCCCGAAGTCATTTTCAGCACCACCTTTCCCGTTCCCACGACGTTTGATGTCGAAGAGTTGCCCATGAATAGCTTCCTTCCGTCGATAGGGGTATAAGACGAGAACATATCTCTATCCGCACAAATATGCCGAGTTGCTCCCTTATCGACCCACCATTCTCGTGGATTATTAACCAAGTTAACTTCTTGGACCACGGCGGTTAGATCGAGCTCAGATAAATCAATGGGAACAGATTTATCCTCGGCTATATGTGCGCTATCTTTACCCTTCTTCAGGAGTCGACAATATTTCGCAAGATGCCCAGATTTACCACAATTGTAGCAATTCTCTTTGAACTTCTTGGTGCTCGTTTGAGGTTGCTTTCCCTTTGAAGTTCTCTTGCGCTTCTTATTAGAGCTTGACTCGGCCAAGTTTGCCTTAGCCTCGAAGTCGCTCCAGTTGGCCCTTACTTCAGATTTTCGATTATCTTCCTCAATTCGAAGTCGAACAATCAAGTCCTCCAATGTCATCTCTTTGCGTTTATGCATGAGATAGTTTTTGCAGTCCTTCCAAAGTGGTGGTAACTTTTCAACAATAGCCGCAACTTGGAAGGCTTCATTCACAATCAATCCTTCGGCCAACAAATCGTGAAGGATGATTTGAATCTCTTGAACTTGGCTAACCACCGACTTAGTGTCCACCATTAAGTACTTTAGGAATTTGCCGACGAGAAATTTCTTAATCCCGACATCTTCCGTCTTGTACTTCATCTCCAAGGAATTCCATAACTCCTTTGTCGTCTTAATCGGACTATAGACGTTATAGAGAGAATCGTCTAGTCCGTTAAGGATATAATTTCTACACAAGAAATCATTGTGATGCCAAGCATCCGAGTCCGTACGCTTTTGCATGTCGGTCTCACTTTTGGGGACGATCAAAGGGTCCTCCGAAAGAAAACGAGAGAGGGAGAGAGTTGTGAGGTAGAAAAGCACTTTTATTGCCACCTCTTGAAATCAGAGCCATTGAACTTCGGCGGTCTCTCGCCTTGGACTAGAGCAACTACCCTCAATAGACTAGTACCCGGTATAGCGGCGATTGAGCACTTGAAGAAGACGTTTGGTTTCCTTCGGTTGCCATCTTATGAACTCACAAAAAATATTTCGTCTTAAGATTGTAGTTTATAATTTCTGTTTTTGTATGTGAATTTCAAGAAAATGGCTTAAGAAATAGAAGGAATTATGGTAAAACGAACAAAGTCGAGGCACGTAAGATACGCTCTCCTTAAGACGAAATAGCCCCGTATATTACCCACGGTTCACGGCTAACGCCTCCAAGATACAACGACTTTTGATTTGTGTATAGTGGTAACTTAAATACACAAACCTTCGGCGAACAATACTTAAGTTTCGGAACTCTCAAGATAGGAAAGAACACAAAGAACACAAGATGAATATGAACTTTGTAAAAAGGATGCAAAAGTTATGGAATTATTTGATGTCATGAATGATTTCATGTTAGTGGGTATTTATAGATGTAAGGAGACACCTCCAAGAGGTTTAAGTGTCAAAAGACACCTTTTGGGACGTGCCCGAATAAGAACGGATGTATCTAGTGGCCAAAAGATACCTTATGGTCACCAAGGGTTGCAACCCTTCGATTTCCGCAGCCAGTTGCGCGCCTGTGCGCCGCGGGCTCGTACGAGCTCATACGGACTCGGAATCGAGTTCTGTTTTTTCCTACTTGTCCCCAACGAGCCCCTCTACAATTCTACCATACATAATGCATATTTATGGCTCGTTTACTTTATCCAAACATTTATTAAAATATAATATTTGTGAACCCTACAACCTTTTGAGTTGTTTAATACTCAATTAATTAAAATACAACACTTAGAATTAATTTCTCATTCACCTTAAAAAGGTTTTGAGACTTTTCTAAGTATTCTACTTACGAAAATAGAATCGTTAAATCGGTACAAAACCAATTTTTTCTTACACTCACTACATACAACTTCTCGTGTTTGTATAACTTTTTTATTACAAAAGTGGCCTAAGCTAAAGCAACATTCGTTACTCTTTGTACCCAAAAAAAAAAAAAACATTCGTTACTCTCGTATAAAATACCTAGTAATGCTAAGAAGTCAATTGTTGGCTCCGTTACGGAACTAACAACCAATGGGACAGCTTCATGTGGGGCTGTCCCACATTGAAGCCATGTGGGACAATCCCACATGAAGCTATCTCATTGGCTGTTGGCTTCGTAATTAGTATATAAATAGGCACTAATTATAATCTTTGTGTGGGTTTCTTGTGTGTTTCCCCTCTTAAAGTTACCGTTGACCTGCAGGCATTATATCATATATATATATATATATAAACAAATGGATGTACGCAGGCCACATCACAGGTGAAATAGTAGATTAGTAATCGATTAACTAATAAAATGTTGTTATTATTATTATTATTATTATTATTATTATTATTATTATTATTATTATTATTATTATTATTATTTTCTGAAATACAAGAAATTGCTATTTGTAGGTGAAAATCAATATTGTAGACAATGTTTTACTGTAATAATAATTTTGCTAAGGAATCAGATGATTGGTTTTCTTATGGAACCAACCATCTTGCTTTATAGAAAAACTGTTAATATTAAAACAAATTAATTTATTTTAAAAACAATTACTTAATTAAATAGAAAATATAATATTTATTTTATAATAATAATTTGAACAAAAGTTTTTTACAATATAATTTGTTATATATACGTAACTTTTATTATTCAGTGTAAAATATAATTATTAATTTTAGTAACTGTTGTAGTCAACTAGTCTTCAACTCCTTGTTGGTGTGCTTGTGTTGTGTGCACTAAAATTGACTTTCCACTCGCCTTTAATAGAAAAAACAAATAAATAAAAAAAGAAAGAGTACTTATATGTCTTTCATGTCCCCTATGACTTATTTGGCTACCAGAAAGGCAGAAACTCGTGTGAAACAGCAAAAAGAATACTCGGGCCAGTCTATAATTTTAAAGGGAGATGTACAGTCTCGTTACGAAACTATTCTGGTGGGGTTTGTAATCGTTAAATCAACTATCCTGACGGTTACCTAATAATTTAACGGTTAAAAACTCCAACAGAATGATTCCGTAACGATACCGTAACATTTTCCAATTTTATAAATGAAAATGAATGTATATACAGAAAAAAATAAATAAATAAATAAATAAATACATATGTCTCCCATTTACGACCCACGCGGACAAAATGCATGAAGTCTATGGCGTAAGCAGCTGCTGTATTGTAGTATTCATTTAAAGCATCACCAAAAAGCGAGCTGTCAAATCTTTCATTTGAATTCCCAGTTAGCCACCGGTGCGAGTTCACATACCCCACATGACCTCTCCTCTTCGCCTTCTGTGCGTTGCTTTTTCTCTGCCGTCCGGCGAGTGTTTCATCCGCCGCCGCCGCCCGCTGCTCTCTTCCGACAGTTTTTGAGGTCATTAGTATATTACGAATTGTGTATTTTGTGAATTATATAGTTCTTCTGTTGTGAGCACTCATGAGTCATTAGTATCATGCTCGGGGGGAGTATTTCTTGTTTCTACTTCACAATTTGTGCTGATCAAAATGCAGAGCAATCGATCTCTGGCACCCGAGTTGACGGCTATATAGTATTCACGCTTGAGCTTCCCATATGCCTGGGAACAAGTTCAACGACGAGCCGGAAGTTCTCAGTTCCCGAGTTGGGAGGCTCTTGAGGGAGAGGGAGCTGAGAAGGAGCAGCATAACTCCTTCATTCTTGGATGGGAATGACCACAGCCCAGGGACTGAGATACCTGTGAACAATTCTTCCTATGTGGAGCAGTATTTAGATGAAGGGTGTGATAGGCCTGTCAAGCAGAGACTGTTAGTGGTTGCTAATAGACTTCCAGTGTCTGCAGTCAGAAGAGGTGAGGACTCTTGGTCGCTCGAGGTTAACGCGGGTGGTCTCGTCAGCGCACTTTTGGGTGAGTGATGATATGTATGTAGGTGTTCTATACACAGTTCTTTCGATTCTACACATAATGTGATTTGAGTATTGATATGTAGGTGTTAAGGAGTTCGAAGCGCGGTGGATTGGTTGGGCTGGTGTGAATGTGCCGGACGAGATTGGGCAAAGGGCACTTACTCGAGCACTTGCCGAGAAGGTTAGAATAATTGGACAAAATAGGTGCCTTAGGACCTTTAAGATATTGGGAGCACACTTTCTCTTCAGTGTTCACTTTTACTGAACTTTTTGTTTTTGGCAACTCAGAGGTGCATACCTGTTTTTCTTGATGAGGAGATTGTTCATCAGTATTACAATGGATATTGCAACAATATCTTATGGCCTCTTTTCCATTATCTTGGGCTCCCACAAGAAGATCGACTAGCAACGACCAGGAGTTTTCAGTCCCAATTTAGTGCTTACCAGAAGGCGAACAAAATGTTTGCCGAAGTTGTTCACAGACACTACGAAGAGGGTGATGTTGTTTGGTGTCATGATTACCATTTAATGTTCCTTCCGAAGTATCTGAAGGATTACAACAGCAAGATGAAAGTTGGGTGGTTTCTGCACACTCCCTTTCCGTCTTCTGAAATCCACCGAACTCTGCCATCTCGATCTGAACTGTTGCGTGCAGTTCTAGCTGCTGATTTAGTGGGGTAATACATTTGAATGGATATCTTGAATGATAAACTACTAATGACACACAAAGAATCTTTGATGCGCCCGAAGTCTTACTTTCTTTGTATAAATGGCTGGCACTTATTCGTGTCAAGTGTTTTTACTGTTAGTCTATTACCCGATTTAATAAATTCGATAGTTTTATGTTGCTTCTTTTCAATCTTATATGAATCTTTCTTACCATCATCAATTTCATATCCTTTATAGATTCCACACTTATGATTACGCGAGACATTTTGTAAGCGCCTGCACCCGAATTCTTGGACTGGAAGGTACTCCTGAGGGAGTTGAGGATCAAGGAAGGCTAACTCGTGTGGCTGCCGTATGTTCTTATGAATTTTATTGGAATGTTTCCTTTTCGTTATATAATCTTTTTTTTTTTTCTGGGGTTGTGGTTGTGATGTATCTAACAGCCAGGAAAAAGGATTTATGAACTACCATATATCATCATATAGACTTACAAGTTTTTTTCTACATCTTTTGTGAACAGTTCCCAATAGGGATCGATTCAGAAAGGTTCATCCGTGCTCTTAAACTTCGTCAAGTCCAGGAACACATTAAAGAATTAAATGAAAGATTTTCTGGAAGAAAGGTTCGTCAACTTGTTCCCATCCTCATTTCTCTGATTTTGAAAGTGTGCTTGAATTTGTCGCAGTTATCCAGCTTTTGTTTAAAGAACACATTAAAGAATCAAAAGAAAGATCTTCATGATTTTTTGTTTAATCTGAAGCCTTATATTCTTACAGGTAATGCTGGGTGTGGATCGTCTTGATATGATAAAAGGGATTCCGCAAAAGATACTAGCATTTGAGAAATTTCTCGAGGAAAACCCCTACTGGCGTGATAAGGCTGTCTTGCTGCAAATTGCTGTGCCAACAAGAACCGACGTGCCTGAATGTATGGTCTTAATATAGTTTGTTACATGTCTGTGTTCGTTTATTGCATATTGACATATGATCTGATTTATATATTTCCGATAAATTTATAGATCAGAAACTTACAAGCCAGGTTCATGAGATTGTTGGGCGGATCAATGGGAGATTCGGATCTTTGACTGCTGTTCCAATTCACCATCTGGTTAGTATTTTCTTCAGCAGGCTTACTAGAAATGTATCCATGTTCGCATTGACTTTTATTGATTCAAGTTAACTTTTTCCTGAAAATTTGAAAAAATAAATAAATAAATCAACACAACATCTCATATGGAGGACCAGCATGTAGTAGTATGAATTCTTTATTATACTAGGAAGATGCACGTGCTACGCACGTGATATTAATCATTTTTTCTTTATTTAAAATTGTTTTTGTTATTAAATTTACATTTAATAGTATAATATAATTTTCATTCCATTAGTTAATAAAAAAATTATTTATTTTATAATAATCAATAATAAATGTCTTAAATAATGAAATATAATATTTAATACTTTTTATCAAACTGTGACATAAAATTAAATAAAAAATATTGGTTTGAAAATTCGCAGTAAAATTATTATTTTTTTAAAAAAAATTTAAATGCTAAATAAATTTATGTCGTCTTTGATTTTGTTATCTAATGATAACTCATTATGCTTAAAAATAACGATCATTATCATTGTCATCATAATATAGTTTTTTAATGTCTTCTTTTTGCGT